GCACATTCAGTATCTTTTGATACAAGTCCATACTATTCCCAAACAGCCCTGGTCAGTGGCTGAGCATGGTCTTGGCAGTGGTCCTGGTGCATCTGCCCAGGACAGAACTCCACTAAGGGACAATCTTTGCTCTAGAGTTCCCTGTTGGTTGGTTGAGATTTCATCAGATCTGTATCACTGTTGAGACATCTCCTGCCCAATCCTTCTTATAGCTCATTTAGCCTTTTGCAAGTATTAGATTTTCATTGTGATCTCAAGCCTCACTTTGCCAGATCCTGCTTCTTTCAACTCTTATCTTTTGTATGTATTGCCTTTCAATCTTGGCTATATTTATCTCAGAGTCTGCTTCCAAAGGAACATAGTATTTTACCTGAAAAAAGTTTGCTGTGGTTTATACTCTAATTCCCCTTTTACTCTCTTAAGTTCTTCAAGAAGAAGAGTTTGAGACTGAGGCTTACATCCAGGCAGCTTATTTTGCTAAGTTATTTTAAAGAACAGGAGTGGACGCCTGGAGAGAATCAAACAGGTAATTCACATGTAGTTACTCTGATGGTCATTGTGAGCAAAGTACTACTAAATACCTGTTGAGGAGGTTGGTCAAACCCTTTCAGAACCGTCTGCTCGAAGAATGGGAAAAGGGAGTTGATATGATTTGGATTTCTCTCCTCACCCAAATCTCATGTTGAATTGTAATCCCCCGTGTTGGAGGATGGACCTGGTGGAAGGTGATCGGACCAGGGAAGTGGATTTCTCCCTTGCCATTCCTGTGATAGCAAGGTTCTACCAGATCTGGTTGTTTAAAAGTCTGTAGCACCTCCCACTTCATTTTCTTCTCCTGCTCCTGCCACATAGGACGTGCCTGCTTCCCCTTCATCTTCTACCGTGATTGTAAGTTTCCTGAAGCCTCCAGCCATGCTTCCGTTACAGCCTGCATAACCATGAGTCAATCAAACCTCTTGTCTTTATAAATTACCAGTTTCAGCCATCTCTTTATAGTAGTACATGAACAGACTAATACAAGAGTGATTTCCATCACCCTCTGTCCCTCCTTGGTCAAAAGTTACCCTTAGAGTGTTAACTCACTTGCACTGCCTGGTTTACCTGTGTATCCTTGTATCCAAATGACTGAGTGGATTCCTGCTGGCAACCCAGGTGTGGGATAGCAGATAATCCTTTGCCAGGAAGTGAGAGAGAGGAGGAACACCTGAAGCAAGATGCTGTCATTTATAACTTCGTACAGCTGTTTGCTGCATTAACGGCTAAAATGAAATGGCAGTTCAAGACACTATGAGGTGTGCCCCAAGGGGTGCCTAATATACCTTCCTTGGAAGCTTCATTACCAGTTAAGGTAAGTTAAATTTCTCTTAATAACTTCTGGCAATTTTCCATCTTCAAGCCTCTTTTTCCTGCATTAAGAAAATTTTGAAATACGTAAAATTATAAAGAATGATGTAATAGAACCCTATGTACACAGCTTTAACAACTCTCAATATTCCACTGCTCTTATTTCATCAATTCCTCTCTTACCTTTTTTTTCTGGCATATTTTAAAGTAAATACAATGCAATATATTAATTTTTATCTATAAGAACTTTAATATATGTCTCTATTAGATAAGAACTTTTAAATCTAATCACAACATCATTATTACATTTGGCAAAATAAATGTAATCTAATGCCAACTTCATATTCATTTTTTTTCCTTTTTCCAAAATGCGTCTTATACAGTTGTTTATTTGAATTAGAATATTAACATTGCATTTGGTTTGGTTTTTTTAATTTACTCTGTAATGTTGTATGTTGGGGGTGTGTGTATACCCAACACCCTATTTATTTGTTGAAGCAACAGCAACTGGATCATGTGTCCTGTGGAATTTCCTACACTGTCTCACTGACTCTTAATGATTCCATGGTATTTGTATAAGATACTCCTCCACACCAGAGTTTTTAACCTGGGTATCCCAGACCTATAGAATGCAAATATTGTGTAACTATGGAGTGGATGAAAAGCATCTTTATGTTCCCCGACCACTAACAGAAATTTAGCATTTCCTTTATGTAGGCAACAAATCACCGAAGTATTAGCACTGCTGTGTATACTTCTATTTGTCATAAGTAAACAAGTAAACATTTCCATATAATATTACAGTTGTTGCAGATACCTTGAAATGCTATTTTCCTTTATCATTATTTTGCGAATTTTTTTACATAAACTTTTTATGTTTATATATCTTATACAAATACCATGGAATCATTTAACTGTGTATATTAATATGCCACTAGTATCTAAGTAATCAGTCTTCTTGTCCACAATCCTGGTTAGCCAACTAGGAACCAAACCTGAGCCTAATAATTATTTATTGACAACACTGTGTCTTGGTTTGGAGAGACCACATGAGAGTTCTCAACTTTGTTATTAAAAGGCAGTCTTTTGTAACACAAATAGTTACACAAGCTATGAATGTAGACCAAGCAAGTTCAAATGTATCTTACAGATGAGGTAAATACCATGTTTGCTATTTAATATAACTGCTTATTACTACAAGTAGATTGTGTACTTCCAGATCTAAGCTCTGTGGGTAGCAGAAACTTTCTTATTTTTTTTTTTGGTACCCTCTGAAAACTATCTCTGTTATGAAACAAAAACTTTCACATACTAAGATATTAGCAGTGAAATTCGATTTTAGGGAGACACTATATGTGAGAAAAATCTTGGAAATTTATGTGTTGAAATGAATTCTAATGTATTTCTTTTGACAAGTCTAAATCGGCTAAAAATTATTGCACCCAATCTGTGTCACTTGGAGATGAAGAAAATAAAAAGTAATGAAAAAATATTCTTTGTTAGAGAGAATTCCATTTTATTGTTTTATTTAAAAATTTATAGAAATTCTTAAGCTGTTGAAAATCACTTATCAAGGTATAGGTAACAAGAAGACATTGGGGATTTTCATTGAACTTGTCTTTCCTTACATATAGTTCCTAGGTAAGTAATTTTATTTCTTTAGTAAGGAAAAGAAAACATGATAAAATGTTAGATTATTTCTACACAATAGTAATTTGAGTGTATATTTTATTATTTTTCCCTGTATTTTTAAATTTTCTCAGTATTAAAAAATAAAAATCAATGAAACTGTTGCTGCCTTAAAAGTGCATTACAATAAAGAAGACAAGCAAGTAAAACACCAATTTGGAAAGTGAGTGACTCATGCTATGTTAGAGGGATAGACTATGTGCTATGAGAGCAGAGAGGTTGGTGCCTAACTAATAGAAACTAGGGAACAGCTTCCCAAAGGCATGGCTAGCAATTAAGAGAAGAGAAGGAGTTGATGAACTGAGAACCATAGGGTTGAGTTTCTGCCGTAGGCAGTAAGAAGAGTATTTACAAAGGAAAGACAGCCAGAGAGAACATGATATTTTGGAGAAACTGGAAAGAATTTTTAATGTCTCAGGCTCAAAGGGTGTGTGAAGGAGTTGTGAGAGTGAGGCTCGAAAGGCAGGCAAGGGTGAGATGCTGACAGGAAGTAGATTCAACTCTCAGGAGTTTCAAGTTTATCATAGGTGATATTGAATAAAAAAGCATCTTTATGTTCCCTGACCACTAACAAATTTAGCATTTCCTTTATGTAAGCAACAAATCACAGAAGCCTTAGCACTGCTATACTTCTGTTTGTCTTAAGTAAACAAGTAAACATTTCCATATAATATTAGGCATATTAAGTATTACCAGATGTAGATTATAGAGAGATCATTGTAGGGAGACCAAATAGCTTGATCTTATAATAGGCTAGTTGAAAAGTGATTATCTGAACTAAGAAGAGAAGGAAGAAGGGAATAGGGGAGGAAATCAGATGTAGGAACCAAAAGATCAGGACTAATTACATGTGACTGTGAGGAACAGAAAGAATAAGCAGATGACTAGGTGAGTAATTTTGAATGAACTAGGACTTCTACTATTGTTTGAAAATTTTACTGAAGGCAAACAGTATAAACGTGACCTATTACCCTGCATATTTTTTGAAAGATTACCTTAAATATTTCAAATATTTACCAAAACTAGATTTTTAAGAAGTTAAAATTTATTCATAATTATCAAGATTTAAGTACTATAATATTAATAAGTTGCTATTTGCTACACTGTAAAATGTAGAATCCAAATGATAATTAATGAGACACTTTCTATTTTGACATCAACTATTATTAAAATAATACCTGAAGGAAATAATTAAATGTATCTATGCGATAAAGAGCTCTTCCTCACCACATGCTTTTTCAGTCATTCATTTAATGCTGAAATGCTCAGATTTATGTTGACTCTAAATCAGGGGTTCTCAAAGTTTAGCTTGCATCAGGATCACTTGAAGGCTGTTGAAACTCAGATTGCTGACCCAGAATTCTTAATTCAATAAATTTGGAGTAGGATTCAGGAATGTGCCTTTCTCAGAAGTTCTTACATGATGTGGATGCTGATGGTCTAAGAATCACACTTTGAGAATCACTGTTGTAAAATATGTGAATTTGTTTAGTCATTAATTCAACCATTATATAAAATATAGAATAAGTACCTACTATGTATCAAAACCTGGAAATAAAAAAGTGAAGAAGCTACATTTTCTTTTTGAACTGGAGGTGATTATTCTGAGTGAGTGTGTAAGTTTAGTTTATATCACAAATTAATCCAGTGTTTAGCTACTACTTGCACTTTCATATTTCTACAGTATTTTTATGTCACTCAATTTTTTCCCATTTAGAATGAATCGGTATTTTATTTATCAAATCAAGACAATTATACTTAAAATGAAATGTAAAGCTATTTCACTAAATCTGAAAAGTGAGATAGATCTGAAGATCTTACATTTATAAATAGTGATTGAGATACTGTATTAGCTTGCTGAGACTTCCTTTACAAAATCCCACAAACTGAGTGGTTTAAATGACAGACTTAATTCTCAAGAGTTCTGGAGGTAGAAAGTCTGAGATCAAGGTGTTGGCAGGGCTTACCTTCTGGTAAGGCTTCTTTTGGCTTGCAGGTGGCTGTCTTCATGCTGTGTCCTCATATGGCTTTTTCTCTGTGCCTGTGCTCTCCTGGTGTCTCTTTCTGGTCTGATGAGGACATCAGTCATTTTGGATTAGGGCCCCAAGGGTGGGGGCCTCATTTTAAGTCTTTGAAGGCCCTATCTCAAGTACAGTCACATGGATGAAGTCCCACTCTTATGACTTCATTTCACTTTAATTAGCACTTCAAAGGCCCTATCTCTATACACACTTACATTCTGAGGTACTGTGGGTTGGGACTTCAACATACAAATTTTGGGTAAATGCAACTCATCCCATAACAGATATTCACAGTTGTTATGAGAAAGCATAACCTTGACATACAATTTTAAAATTGACCCCTTTGAATTTGTATCTAAAACATTCTCTTTTTTTCCCTATGATCAGTCCTTCTATAATCATGTACTAAGAGCTACTACATTTCCAGGACTTTCATAGGAGCCAAGGGAATAAAAGAAGCTTATTTTGTCTTCATGAAGGTTATTTCCAAATATTTATTTATAAATTTCTCTATTTGTGAATTACAATGCATAGTCCTATAGAAGGCATCTTTTGTTAAAGGGTCGGTTTCTTCAGAAGATCTAAAACAGTCCATTTAATTTATAATGAGATTGAACTATCATATAACTCACAATATAAACTAACCGAATCTCTATTTGGGCTAAGGATACATTTGATTTTCTTGATGCAAATGGCAAACCAATTCACACAAGGTCACTCAAAGGAAGACTCCTCTATAATAAACTACTTAGGAAAATATGGACAGGGTTGAGGAAACAAATGAGATACGCTGAAGTGCACCAAGCCTAGCCATTACCACTCTTAGATCAGAAGCTTCAAAGGCAGGAAATTCTGTTATTGGAGCCTGCTAAAAACTGGATTGCATCATGGAGGAAGGGGCATACAGTGAGAGCTCTATATGCGTAGAGTCAAGCTACTCAGAAATAGGGCCCAAAGCAATGGAATAGTGAAAATATAACACTTAATGTCTCCCTCCTTCTGCCCTCTATTCCCCCGATATTGCCTTCTTTTATTCAAATCCCGTAAAAAGCCAGGGAAAAAGGGAACTTGAGTGATGTAGTCCATTGGGATTAGCAAAGAAAGAAGTAGAATACATGAAGAGAGGGGAGAGCCAATGAATAACAGCAAACAGCTAGCACAGAAGCTTCAGTGGGGCTGAGATTACAGTCAGCACAGCCATTCGGATATGTTATTTATGGACAAGAATATGTGTATGTCAAGTATTGTTGGTATAAAATAAGCTTGTATTCTTCTGCCTCTAAAATTGAATCGTGGAGAAGACTAAAAAATATGCAAAATAGATTACAAAGCCAAAAAGAATAAACAATCATGAACTAAATCATGTACCAAGAAAAAAAGAGTGGAGGCTCAATCAAGGAGAGATCACTGGGCCGGGGGAACACAAATTTATATTTTAACAAAAATTAATTGACCAATTTATTTAATGATGGCTTAACTAGTTTCCTGAGCTCATTATGCTCAGTGTCATGGTAACTCGATGGTTGATATATTTTCCCAGTCCTTGTGAGGATGCCGTACTGGAATCAATTTCTTTGAGAAGTCTTTGACAGTAAAGTCTTGGCACTATTCTCAGACTGACCAAGTCTTTCTATCTTTGGAAAGAGTTATACAGTTTCAGAAACTGCTAAGGTAGCTGCATGGTACTTGAATTCTACACTTGGATAGTGTAAGTATATTACTTGACAAGATAAATGAATACCATAGAATAGGTGGAAATCACCAAGTTTTTTTGCTCCAACTTTTATTTTACATTCAGGGGCACATGTGCAGGATGTGCAGGTTTGTTACATAGGTAAACAAACATGTGCCATGGCTACACAAATCATCTCATCACCTACGTATTAAGTCCGGCATCCATTAGCTGGTCTTCCTGATGCTCTCCTCCTCCAAATCCCCATCCTCCAACAGGCCCCAGTGTTTGTGATTCTCCTCTAAGTAAGTGTCTATGTGTTCTCATCATTCAGCTCTCACTATAAGTAAGAGCATACAATATTTGGTTTTCTGTTACTGCATTAGTTTGCTGAGAATAATGGCTTCCAGCTCCATCTATGTCCCCGCAAAGGACATGATCTCATTTCTTTTAATGGATAAATAGTATTCCATAGTGAATACATTCTATATATTTTTTATCAAGTCTATCACTGATGGGCATTTAGGTTGATTCCATGTCTTTGCTATTGTAAACTGTGCTGCACTCTTTATAATAGAGTGATTTGTATTCCTTTGAGTATATACCCAGTAATAGGGTTGCTGGGTCAAATGGTATTTCTGCCTTTAGGTCTTCAAGGAATTGCCACACTGTCTTCCACAACAGTTGAATTAATATATACTCCCACCAACAGTGTAAAAGCATTCCTTTTTCTCCACAACATTGCCAGCATCTGTTGTTTTTTGACTTTTTAATAATAGCATTCTGACCAAGTATTTATGTATATAGAAATGCAATAATTAGAAATATCTTCATAAAATATTTTTACCTCATTTATCAAAATAGTTGGAGCAATTGTAAATAAGAAAAAAATCCACCATCTGATTGATTTACTCTTATGTTTGCACAGTTTCTGGGCTTCCTAAAATGCAACATATTATTATTGATAAAACTTTTCATATTTTAAACAAATACTGCAACGTTATCTCCTCTGATGAATATTTCTAAGTTCAGTCTAACTGAACCATAAGCACTAGAACTCATTATTTCCCTAGTGAATCATTTACACAAATATACATCACTGCTGGAAATAATTAGCTAAATTACTAGATTTAATTCTATTTGTATAATTGTCATCTGTCTCTTCAAATATTTGTAGTCATTATTTTATTTTTATTTTTCTAAGTTTTAAATTGGAAAAGGACAAGATATGTTGGAAACAGTGATTAATCCTGTCGGCTTACTGTTGATACCATGGATTTGAGCTTTGGCTCCTTCCATGCTGTTTACCTTAATGAAGCTTTTCAACTTCTACAAACCTTACCTTTCTTTATCTGTAAAATGAGGAATAATAACAATATCTCTGCAGGAATTATTATGAGGAGTGCATGAAAAATATATCTTGATTGGTTGGCAATTTAAATATTTTAATTATTGCTATTGTTAGTACACATAGGACATTTATATCACTGGATATTATCAATCACAAACAACACGATAAACAACATTCTCATACTCTAGACCGACATGCTGCTTAATTTAGTGTAGAATATGCCTATGAATAACAGTAAATTAAATATTTTAGATTTAATATTTCTCTTTTGCAATTATTGATCTTTTAAAAGAACTTAAAATTGGTGAATTGAGAAATAAGATTTTAATATTAAATAGTTCATCTTATAAAAAACATATAATAGCTTAGTAATTTGGGTGAAACTTTTTCCTAAATTTTAAGTTTCCTGGCTGGGCATGGTGGCTCATATCTGTAATCCCAGTGCTTAAGGAGGCTAAAGTGGGAGAGTCATTTGAGGCCAGGAATTTGAGACCAGCCTGGGCAACATAGCATGACCCCATCTTTACAAAAAATAAAATAGAAAAATTACTCAGGCATGGTGGCACATGCCAGTTGTCCCAGATACTTGGGAGGCTAAAGTGGGAAGATCACTTGAGCCCAGGAGTTTGAGGCTGTCATGAGCTATGAGTGCACCATTGCACTCCAGCCTGGATATCAGAGTTAGGCTCTGTCTCTAAGAAACATTTTTTTAAAAAGTATCCTCTAGTCAAATTCTGAGATGTTGTAAAAAAATAACATTTCCATCTGTTCTTTCTATCATTAGTGAAGCAGGTGGCATATGTTATATCCAAGGTGAAGTAAAAATCATTTGGGCTTTCAAAAACTCTAATATGCATTTATAAGAAATTATTACTCCTTCTGTTTAGTGAATTTTTTTAAATGGAAGATAAATAATTATAGTCATAGATATTTTATTTTGCCCCCATAAAAACTTTAGGTCATTTGTGCCTAATCCTATGTATTTAAAAAGTAGACCCTCCAGGGAAAGATGATTATAGAGATCAGAAATTCATATCCACAACTAGTATGCCTTGGCTTTTCTAGCACACTTTACTGCATTCTTCACACACAGACACCCAAGTGAAAGTCGCTTAAACATTAAAGAAGAATTATTGGTTTTCATAAGTAGGTAACTCTGGAAGCCCCTTTACTCTCTGAGTTGGTTTCAATTCAACAATCTCATGGTATCTTTACAGACCCAGTTTTTTGGTATGTACATTCTCCCATTGTCAACTTCATCTTAGAGCTTTCCTCATGATGACAGAATTGCTGCAGCAGTTCTAGTGTTTATAACCATACATCATCCTGAAATAAGAGTGTTTCTTCCCAGCATTCTAAGCCAGAGTCCTAAAATTCTCTTGTCAAAGTTCAGCTTCTGATTGGATCAGTTTAGATTGCCTTCATTCCTTTGAAGTAACCACTATGCAGGGGATTAGAAATGTACTGATCGATTTAGGTCAATCAGATGCCATGCTCTCAAGTTTAACTTTTCTTATAATACCTGGGCTATGTAGTGGAATGGTATACATACAAACTGAAATTCATAATGCTCTTAGGAAGGAGAAAGGAGTCAACAGATGCTGACTAGGTGGCCAATTAATCCTCTGCAGGCACTTTTTTCAAAGTCAGATAAAAGAATCACAAAACACACAACCTAATCTCAGAGATTTTGCTAATATCACTACATCTTAAATTACATCTATAAATAAGTAAAAGCATATCTAAAGAATGTGTCTACTAATGTTACAGTAATTACTTAACTTTTTCTTTCTCAAAGCAAGACTGTATTAATTACCAAGGATTATCTATTTTTTTATGTAGATCTTATTGAAGTATGTAGGTCTTGGGATGCAAAAGTCTTAAATGACTGTGGCCAAGTGTATATTTGGCAATGTGTTGCAGTGGAGTGTATTATTAATTACAGAAATTGGGTACTTCAAAAGAAAACAAATAACATAGTAGATAAATCTGCTAAAATATTCACACCTAATGACAGCTGGGAGACACTTGTCATGTGAATCTATTATGCTCAGTTCAGATACCTTTTCATCTGGAATCATGGTAAAATTGGATTTCTAGCTCTGGTTTAATACTGGATGGTTTAAGAATGCTAAAGCACAACATATATGAAAGTTACATATGGTTTTATCTTTCCCATTTCTCTGGTGCCATC